ACTGCTTCATGCCCTGCTGTCATGCCGAGCCCGTGCCAGGCCCACTCCCAGTTGCGAAGTGCTGCATGTCGCGAGCTGGCAGCATCTAGTCAGACTTTTTTGGTGACCGAACCTCTCTCCTACAGCCTTGCAATCCCGCTTGCTCGGACATGTCTAAGGATTCGCATTGTGCAGCCGTGCGGTGCTTAGCGTGTACGTGTACTCTGGTGGGCCAAGATCTCCGCAGAATACTAGGCTCTCTAGAGCGACCTGCCAAGCTCGCGGAAGGGATTGTATCACTTCGAAGTTTCCTGGTTGAGCAGTCCGATGAAGTCTCACTGGCAGTGTCCCCATCGTTGCAGAAGCCGATCGTCTTTATCCCGAGCAGCTGCTCACTGCAGCGAGACCGGTCGTATCTTGCCTCTCCCTGATCGAAGCCTCAAATAATAAAGTCCTGTAAGACTGTAAGACCGCATCAAGCTTTTGCACAGAGCTCGGCGCCGCCGTGAGTTGCAAACCTCCGAAACCTACCGAGGAGGGCGAGTACGAGTGTTGATTCGGAGGAAGAGAATACCGCAGAACATTTCCTCCCGATCGCCGCTTGGAAGCACTCCGGACTCTTATACTTCGGATCTGCATTCGCAATGGTCGCCACAAGGAAAGTCATAGGTAGGATGCGAGTCTCAGATCGTGCGCGGGCAAACGGTAGATAGTTCTTGGCGCTCGTCAGCAATGCCATGTGCGCACTATCGAGAATGCGTGGCCTCCTCACTGGAAGCGCCAAAACTCAACCCCAAACCTCTTCAGACGAGAACCTCCGGCAACAGGAGAAGAAGTTTGAAGTGCCAATGGTGCCTGATGCAGCGGACCCAGCTGGAGCTGGAGGTTGATTTGTCATTCGGTACATGCAGCGGCCGCCGGGGGGTTGGAGATGGTTAGTCTGGTCTTGTCGTGCTCTTCGTGTTATTCATGTGGCGGTTGTGAGTGTGCTGCTGCTGCAGTGTTGATGTCGTGATACTGTTGCAGTGTTGCCGAGCCCGTCCCCTTTCTCCATGTCATAGTCGTGGCGGACGTTGTCATCATCGTGGCATCTCCCCCCTACTATGACAATGACGACGACGAACTGCTACGTAACTACTTTACTACTACTACTACTACT